GTTCCTTTTTCTGTGTGTGTGGGGGGAGTGGGGGAGAAAGTTGGGTTTTTTTTTTTAATTGCGATGAGCTTTGTATCTCTTGAATGTCATAGGGGATGTGTGATGCCTTTTTTCCTGAGCTAAATAGTTCTGTAAACCTGGCTTCTCATGTCCATTATGTTGTCTCTGAAGGACTTTGAAACGTAGACAGCCTTCCATCTCCCTTCATAGGACTTGTCCTCTCCGCCTCAATGTCGGTGTGAGAGGCCATATGAATAAATACCACTTCTTAGTCTCCAGTAGGCATTTCCTTCTTCCTGGTGGCTGGAGAAGAGACACATAGTTATGGCATCAAATGTTTACAAAACTTTCCTACATCTGGAACTTTGTTTAGAGGATTCTTGGTATAGTTTTTCCATGGCTTTCTGTTTTGGTTTTCATACTTATGTGGTTGCTTGGCTTATCAATAATTATCTTCCTTCATCAGAAATCTTCTGGTATTCTGGTAATATAGTAGTAAATGATAGCACATTTCATTGCAATAGAAAGTAACCTGGAAAGTGTAATAATTAATCATTTAAGAAAAAAGCCATTTCTATTTTTATAATTACGGAAGAACAAGATACATTTAAAGCATTTTGAAAGAAATGAAGATGTTATAAAACGATCTTAAATACTTAAGTGTAACAAAACATGTTACACCTTTGTCCATTCCAGTTTTTAATTAAAAAAAACTATAATTTGTTTTATGATATTAAGATTATCTATCCCTCCCTCTATGTTTATATAATAAGGTGTATTTTCCAGATGGACTCAAGCAAGCATAGCTGCATATTTGCCATTTTAAGTTTTTTCCCCGCAATGATACCGATACTATTTACAATATTATTTATAATACAAAAACATAGTACAATTAAACAAAATACATTTTAGGACACCATGCACTTTACTTCATCTTAGAATCTTCCTTATAAATGGATAATTATTAAAGGGTGTTTAAATTATTTATTCAGGTTCTGTATGTTGGAAAATATCTTGCAATGACTATAAGTAGGGCCCTACCCAATTCACGGTCCATGTTGGTAAATTTCACAGGCATAGCATTTTTAAAATCTTGAATTTCACAGTGTCAGATATTTAAATCTTAAATTTCACGGTGTTGTAACTGTGGGGTCCCGACTCAAAAGAGGCTTATGGGGAGGGGGGTCGCAAGGCTATTGTAGGGGAGTCGTGGTATTGCCACCCTTACTTCTGTGCTGCCTTTAAAGCTAGGCGGCTGGAGAGGTGCGGCTGCTGGCCGGGCACCCAGCTCTGAAGGTAGCACCGCCACCACCAGCAACGCAGAAGTAAGCAATACCATACCATGTCACATTTACTTCTGTGCTGCTGCTGGTGGCAGCACATCCTTCTGGGCTGGGTGCCTGCCAACAGCCACCGCTCTCTGGCAGTCCAGTTCTGAAGGCAGTGCAGAAGTAAGGGTGGCAATACTGTAATCCCCCTACAATAGCCAGATTTCCCGGGAGACCAGATTTCACGGTCCGTGATGCATTTTTCATGGCTGTAAACTTGGTAAGGTTCTAACTATAAGGAAAAACTGTATCTGTTAATCTATGATAAATAAAAATGCTTCTATATGTTTCCTTAATTAAGTATGCATATATGTTTTAGTGATTAATATGTGTCTGTTGACTCAGAAATGTGAACTTCAAAAAGGAAATACAAAAGCAATTCCGGAAAACATGCATGTAAAAGGAATACATTCAGTTAACTAAGGAAATTGGGTTTGTTTCTGCAACCTCTCTTTGCATGAGTTATCCCATTTGAATTGATGGGACTTCGTATAGAAGGATTGCAGCCTGGGGCTTGTTATACTCTTGAATATTCTGAATTTCTGTTGCTAGATATTGTAGACTTCTGTTGCTTATGTTTTAATGTCCTTGTGTGGCAGTGTGTGTTTTGTATTTGACCACAACATCTATCTTTTAAAATTTAAATTTTAAATTAATTTTGCAGGTTACTCCTCGGTACCTAGTTAAATGCTAAATGTTTGAATACAGTAAGGGCTCCAGAACAGCCATACATGACAGTAGATATTGTTAGCTGAAGAGACTGCTCTGAGTCTGTATTACATCTCACTATTCAGTTGTCATATTTATCTAATGTATTTGGAACCATAGGATCTAGGAGCGAGGGCACCAGCCTGAGAGTCAGGAGAAATAGGTTCTAATCCCAGCTCTTGGGTGAATCACTTCACTTCTTGGTGTCTCCCCATCTGTAAAAGGGTCTCCTTTGTAAAAGCGCTTTTGGTATGTCCCCACAGCGTTTTGGAGCAAGCCTCCCAGCCCAGGTCAATAGATTTGGGCTAGTGAGGCTCACTACTAGCGCTCTAAAAATAGTAGTAGTATCTTGATACACTAATACGTGGGAGACCCCGTGCAATTCATCCCATCATCCAGATCATTAATAAAGACGTTGAACAAAACCAGTTCCAGGACCGACCCCTGGGACACTCCGCTTAATACCAGCTGCCAACTAGACATTGAGCCATTGATCAATGTCTAATTAATGATCTAGAGGATGGTGTGGACTGCACGCTCAGCAAGTTTGCAGATGACACTAAACTGGGAGGAGTGGTAGATACGCTGGAGGGTAGGGATAGGATACAGAGGGACCTAGACAAATTAGAAGATTGGGCCAAAAAAATCTGATGAGGTTCAACAAGGACAAGTGCAGAGTCCTGCACTTAGGACGGAAGAATCCCATGCACTGCTACAGACTAGGGACCGAATGGCTAGGCAGCAGTTCTGCAGAAAAGGACCTAGGGGTTACAGTGGATACAGAAGCTGGATATGAGTCAAGAGTGTGCCCTTGTTGCCAAGAAGGCTAACAGCATTTTGGGCTGTATAAGTAGGGGCTTTGCCAGCAGATTGAGTGACATGATCATTCCCCACTATTCGACGTTGGTGAGGCCTCATCTGGAGTACTGTGTCCAGTTTTGGGCCCCACACTACAAGAAGGATGTGGAAAAATTGGAGAGAGTCCAGCGGAGGGGGGCAACAAAAATGATTAGGGGGCTGGAGCACATGACTTATGAGGAGAGGCTGAGGGAACTGGGATTGTTTAGTCTGCAGAAGAGAAGAATGGGGGGGGGGATTTGATAGCTGCTTTCAACTACCTGAAAGGGGGTTCCAAAGAGGATGGATCTAGACTGTTCTCAGTGGTACCAGATGACAGAACAAGGAGTAATGGTCTCAAGTTGCAGTGGGGGAGGCTTAGGTTGGATATTAGGAAAAACTTTTTCGCTAGGAGAGTGGTGAAGCACTGGAATGGGTTACCTAGGGAGGTAGTGGAATCTCCATCCTTAGAGGTTTTTAAGTCCCGTCTTGACAAAGCCCTGGCTGGGATGATTTAGTTGGTGTTGGTCCTGCTTTGAGCAGGGGGTTGGACTTGATGACCTCCTGAGGTCCCTTCCAACCCTGATATTCTATGATCACTACCCGTTGAGCCCGACAATCTAGCCAGCTTTCTATCCACCTTATAGTCCATTCAGCCAATCCATACTTTTTTAACTTGCTGGCAAGAATACTGTGGGAGACCGTATCAAAAGCTTTGCTAAAGTCAAGATATATCACGTCCACCGCTTTCCCCATATCCACAGAGCCAGTTATCTCATCATAGAAGGCAATCAGGTTGGTCAGGCATGACTTGCCCTTGGTGAATCCATGTTGACTGTTCCTGATCACCTTCCTCTCCTCCAAGTGCTTCAAAATGGATTCCTTGAGGACCTGCTCCATGATTTTGCCAGGGACTGAGGAGAGGCTGACTGGCCTGTAGTTCCCTGGGTTCTTTCTTCCCTTTTTTAAATATGGGCACTCTATTTGCCTTTTTCCAATCGTCTGGGACCTCCCCCGATTGCCACGAATTTTCAAAGATAATGGCCAATGGCTCTGCAATCACATCAGCCAACTCCCTCAGCACCCTTGGATGTATTAGATCTGGACCCATGGACTTGTGCATGTCCAGCTTTTTTAAATAGTCCTTAACCTGTGCTTTCACCACTGAGGGCTGCTCATCTCCTCCCCATACTGTGTTGCCCAGTGCAGCAATCTGGGAGCTGATCTTGTCCGTGAAGACCGAGGCAAAAGAAGTATTGAGTACTTCAGCTTTTTCCACATCATCTGTCACTATGTTGCCTCCCTCATTCAGTAAAGGTCCCACGCTTTCCCTGACCACCTTCTTGTTGCTAACATACCTGTAGAAACCCTTCTTGTTACCCTTCACATCCCTTGCTAGCTGCAACTCCAATTGTGCCTTGGCCTTCCTGATTACACCCCTGCATGCCTTAGCAATATTTTTATACTCCTCCCTAGTCATCTGTCCAAATTTCCACTTCTTGTAAGCTTCCTTTTTGAGTTTAAGCTCACCGAAGATTTCACTGTTAAGCCAAGCTGGTCGCTTGCCATATTTGCTATTCTTTCTGCACATCGGGATGGTTTGTTCCTGCTCCCTCAATAAGGTTTCTTTAAAATACAGCTAGCTCTCCTGGACTCCTTTCCCCTTCATATTAGCCTCTCAGGGGATCCTACCCATCAGTTCCCTATGGGAGTCTAAGTCTGCTTTTCTGAAGTCCAGGGTCCGTATTTTGCTACTGTCCTTTCTTCCCCTTGTCAGGATCCTGACAATTCTCATCTACTATAAATAATCTCTGATTAACGTTTACTGAAACTGAGTACAAGTGACAGAACCTGTCCCTACATGATTAGTTGAATGGAATAGGGTCCCACATCATACTGTCCTCCAGCTAACTGAAAGAAAGGGATGGAAGGTTATATCATTTGGTACGCACCCAAGCTCACCCAACTATGAGTAAGATAATTTGTTTTAGGTATTCCTTTAGTCTTTGATAGCAGTGTTGATGTCAAGGTAGGAAACAGAATAGTCGCTAACTAAACTAGAGCATGCTCATGTCTGCTTTCTTTGAAACATATTACAGTATTTGTGGTTTTATTTATTTTTAATAGGAAAAGGAAAAGAAGTACATGCTTCCCTTGGACAACCTGAAAGTGCGGGATGTTGAAAAAAGCTTCATGTCTAGCAAACATATTTTTGCCTTGTTTAACACGGAGCAAAGGTAAGGGAAGGCGCCAGCCAGTGCTTTGCAAATAGGTCTGAGAAGATGTACAATTTAATGAAAATGACTGCAGTTTTGGTGCTCCCATTAAATGAGACTTTAAACCTCTTCAATGCTTTCAGCTCATCTCTTTCTGTGCTATTGCTTTAATCCTGATGCATGGCACCAAAAGTCAGCATTACATCATTCTCACTGTTCATGGTGTGGACTCAAGACTGTGGTTAGTCATTTTGCTCTTTTGAATGAGTGACCGATCCCCTCCCTATCCTATTTTTATGTGTTGCTGGACCTTCCATCTGTGACTTTTGTACTTTATGGGCTAGATCCTGGTTGAAATTGGCAAGCTCCATTGACGTCAATAGAGCTACATTAACCTACACCAGTTGAGGATTTGTCTCTCAATTCTACAGCAACAATATGTCTCTAGTCATCAGTCACTGTAGGTGATTTTTAAAAAAACAACTGAGGGACGAATGAATGAGATACCTCTGTCTTCCTAATTCATTTGAATCTTAATTCAGCTATGTTCCACCTGACACTTTTCCAGCTAGCCTGCAGCTTCTGAGTAAGGAGTGGTGAGAGTGTCGTGCCCCTGTGGAGATATGCTTCTAAAAAGCAGGAGAGTGTGACTAGTATACAAACAGAAAGGAAAGGTGAACACTGCAACACACACCCAAATGCAAGTGATCAGTGCTCATTCTAAAGGGAGGAGTCGTGTTTGAGGTTGGCTCAATGGAGCTATAGCATTTCAGTAGATAAGCTGCATTTTCCAGAGTCCTATTTTCAAAAAATCAGTTTAAGTACCTGTAATACTTGTCCTTTATCTTCTCCTTCATTCACCCCACCCTCCAAAGCTTTGTGATGTGCTGAAATGTCTTTCTAGCTAAGAAGGGCTGGATAGGACTCTCTGTGGAATCGGTTTTTATTGCTCCTGAACTGACTAGAAGTGATCATTGCACAGCAAAATGAGGCACTCTCTCCCGCAAGGGCTGAGTGGGCTATCTCTGAACCACTCCCAGTTGCTGCTGGCCTCCAGAGCGAGAGATTAAGTTTGAGTCTCATGCTTGAATGCCCCATAAAGTCTTGCGGTACAACTGGTAAACCGTTAGACTGGGCTCGCATGTTCGTATTCTGTTTCAAACAGTGCACTTGGAAAATATCTCACAAATAACCGTTAGGAACATGAGATAAAACACTTCACCATTTGCATTTCTAGACCCCGCAGAAAGCTTTTAAAACCTTTTTTGCCTTTTTAGAAGTTGTTTGTTCTGAAATGTAAGAGAAGTGATCTGTGGAAGCTGAAATGTAATTTAACTGTTTACACACATAGGTCAGTCATGGAAGATAACTTTGTAGTGATGGATCCTTGTCAATTTTATTGATTCTGTGCAAAGTATAGGAATATTTTTTAAGGCAGGCATGTAGTTCAGCCCCTAGGGTCGGGGGGCCTTATGTTCCACAGGGGCGATTCTCCTTTGTTGTGCTAATGGTTATGAATATTTTGTGCTTTTTAAATATTAATGGGCAAACTGCTATGAAAAAAGGAGAGAAACAAATCATTTACCTTTTCCAGTTCACAAAAAAGGGGCGGAGTGATTTTTCACACTTTCACCGGATCGTAACGTAGAATGTGGAGTGAGGATTTTAGATACGTATGTGTAAAATCTGTTAGAGCTACTACCCACTCAGCTTTTGACTGGGCCTCCTGCATTCTGAAGTTGCATTAAAAGCATCCTGAAATATACATGGGCATGACAGGACATGACAGTGCAGCAATAAGATGCCAGAATCATGTCGTCTAAGTAGAATTCCATAGCAGGAAGAGATGGGCTCCTTGGTTATGGGAATCCTTTTATTAAACTATATTTAAAATGGCAATTTCTTTGCTATCACGATTCAGCCGATTTCCCCTTGATCTTTCTAGAAATCTCCCTTTTTGGCTGAAATTAAGTGTTGTATTGGTTTAATATCTAATACTGCCTCATGCTAGGAACTGCCTGCTGTAGCATTGTGGGGGTGTTGAATGAAATGATCTAGTGCAGGGGTTTTCAGTCTGGTGGTCATGAACATGTATTGGGGTTGTGACCACCCTGCCCTTCCCACCTTGCTAGGTTGAGGGTGGAAGGTCTTGGATGGAAAAGGTTTAGATCCACTGGTATAATGGATCTCATTTTATTTTAAAGTTCCTTGATCATGAAGATATTTTTCTGGGGTTTGGGGGGGGGGCAGGGGGAATGTTAGCTGTGAGAGTCTGCACTGTTCACTTTTTTATTAGTATAAAATAAACTCTGTGTCTAGTCACTCCTTTCATACTACTAACTGAGAAAGAAGTCACCCTTTTTTAATTTTTGCCTGTTGAGGGTTTCTCTGACTGCAAGGATTTCAGTATTTAAGATACAGATAATTAAAGAACAGTAGTAAAGCCATCTACTATAACATCCTAGAATGTTATGTGGGTCATTCTGTGTTCCACTTTCCTCCTTAATCTCAAGCAGCATCCAATTTTTGTGCATCGCCTAGGCAAAGTTTTAGTGTGCATTTAAAAATATTTAAATTGTTAAAGCAAAGTCTCCCTTTAGTCAAGAGAGTTTTCTTGATGACTGTTCTCTCATTCCCAGCCTCTTACTGCCAAGGTATTTCCTGTAGCCATATGTTTCTGATACTGTACATTTCAATAGCTTCCTGGATTATGCATACTGCATTTTTTCCATTTATGAAAACCTCCCCAGTTGTGAAATACAGTTACTAGGGGAAATCCTAGTTTTGCTGAAAAGAAGGCTAGACAGGCTTGAATAGGAGACTGTAGATAGATGAGTAAGGAAACTAACAATCTCTGTCACTTTGATTTACTGCAGAAGTCAACAGCTCTCTGACAGAAATCAAATGTGATATGGTAATGTGTAATGAACGAAGGCTATGGCAATTGATTTAATGGAGAAGATAAATTCTCACGTAATGAAACATAATTGTGTGTGTATGAACAGCCTGTGTTGTGAATTAATGAATTTAAATTCCTTTCTGATTGCTTTCTAAATTAAAATTAAACCACTGAAATGGAATAGGAGGGATATGCTGCTTATCCGAGTAACATTGCCTAAACAGAAGGAAAAAGAAACTAGAGGTGCCTTCCAGCAAACCAATTAATTGTTACATGGTATCTCTCTACAGCTTTTATTTAAACCATACGTACTACTAAATTTCACATGCAGGGGCGTATTAGTGTAGATGGGCTCTTTTGATTTACTTAGGTAGAAGCATTCGGGGCTAAAGCAAATGGTATTAGAGAAACTGCCATTTGACTCGCTCTCCCATTTTCACAATGATTGACTGGCATTTTGTCATAAGCAGAGCTAATAAAGCCAGGGAGAGGATTTTCTGTCCAATCATACGCTTACGAACCGTAGGTCCACATCCAACGGCTGCACTGATGAATAAGCCCGAGGCTCCTGGGCAAAGTTCAAGAACAAACAAAAAATAATAATTCTGTCTTTCCCAGAAAGTTTACTTTTCTTCTAGAATTTCAGCACAAACGCTTTGCCCACTCCCCACCTATTTCCCATAAAAACTATTTGCTGATTGATATTTTTTTTTCTTTCAGGCAAGTACTTTAGCTTGGGACAAGCATTATAGTCGCAAATGTGCCTCTTTTTAGGAACTGTACAACAGTTCCAGCTGTCTTTAGTTAATAAGGGGAAGTAATCATAGTCTCTGATGATCTTACTAATGGCTGTGGAATTCCAGATAGTGCAATTCAGTGCTTAATTTGCCGGCACCTCTAGGCTTGGGAGTTCATAGCCCCAGCACCTCTGGGCTTGTTGCGTCAGTTATGAAAGTAAAAAAATTGCTAGAGCCCCGGCACCTCTCTCATTACAAATTAAGCACTGGTGCTATTTCATTTAATTTGTTTCTGTGCCACCTTAAAATAACCCTTACGGCCTTGTAACAGAGAGGCAGAGCTTTTTGGTTGACTCACTCTATTGGCAGGTATTCGAACCTTGTATTAAGCTGCTGCAATTTCTGCTGACTCCTTGTGGCAGGAGCAGTTTATTCTAACTCCACTTAGGATATCAGAAGGGCTTTGAATAAGCAGAAGTGTGAGGGGTGCATCTTCCTTCCCTCTGCTGCAAGCAGAGGGAGAGTTCCTCTTCCATGTGTTCTCCTGAATTTAGGGGAGATCAGCTCCTTCTTCTTGCTGCTTCTTCTCCTGGTGAAAAAGGGACACACCAGGAGGGAGATTTTGGAGTTATGGAGCCAGAGGAGGAAGCTGGTCTGTTTGTTTGTTCGTTTGTTTTTTTGGTGGCTGGAGCATTGTTTGCTGACTCCTGCCCTTACCTGCCAGTAGGGGGAGCAGCACCTGATGGGGAGAAGAATTGTCTGGTGGGGAGTCCCTTATCTACCTCCTTTTTCCCACAGGAAGCTCTATTCTCCTGTTTGATTCCCTCTCCCTTCCAGGGTGGCAGAGAGGGAAAGAGGCTCCCTCATCTCACCCTACCTGGCTCCAGGGGAAAATGGAGACTGCTGCATCCCCTCCCCTAGCCATATTCTCTAGTAGAAACCAAATGATCTTGTCAGGTTCCTCTCCCCTCATGGCTGTCCGTAGTGGGGTCTGTGGGTGGAGAGGTGGGTTTGGAGCACGAGATGTTCCTCTGCAGTTACACAGACTCACACTGAGGACCCAAATAGAGGGCCTGATGGTGGAATAGCTAATAATGGCACTTGGGTGTGCCAGCACCTGCTATTCTCTGGTGGAGGCTGTCTGTCTGGAGGCTGAAGCTTCAGTCTGAGGAACAAATAGTAAGGCAGGTAGAGGAACCATTGTGAAGATAAAGTCTTGGGGACGCTGAAAGAAAAACCAAAACGATGCTTACCCAGATGATGGGGTGAGCCACCAGGCCCTACATGGATTGTGACTATCAGGTTACATGGTCTAGCTGAAGCTGCCTGGGCTGAGATACCCATGGGAGTGTCGTGTGACTGCTGAGCGAGTAGAGGCGATGTCG